CAGGTCGGACTTCCCTTATTGCAATCTATGACTTTTGGCTTCTACTGCCAACCACCCTCCCATCCCCTAACCACTTAAATTACATGAAACCCCTAAATACCCCTCTCCCTGGGAGCCTGATTCTTTTTAACTGCTCCTCCCCATCCCACCCGAATCACCCCTAAAATGTCCTCCTCTGTCTGCCTTGTCGCTCCTAACTGCCATCCTAACTGTCCCCCCCTGCCGACCTGGTCACCCCTAACTGTCCATCCCTAAGGGCCTGGTCTCCCCTAACTGCCCTCTCTGATGGCCTCATCACCGCTAACAGCCTCTGCCAAGGCCCCCCGCACCGTGGCTTTGTCCAGAAGAACGTCAGGATGGTTGTCTGGAAGATGTCCGGTCTAAATAGCACATTACCCTTTTATTAGTACAGATAATCCGGCAGTAGGACATCCCACCCCTAATCCGGGACCTCTGGCTCTTAACTCCTCACCTGCCTGCCTGCCCTAACCACTCTGCCTGCCTGCCTGATCCCCCTAGCTGCCCTTGCCTGCTGGTCTGATCACCCTAACTGCCCTCCCCTACCTGCCTGATCCCCCCAACCACCCTCCCCTGATGGCTTGGTCGCCCCTAAACGCCTCTGCCTCCGTCACAATAACTCTGTCTGGAAGGACATGCGAATGGTTGTCTGGAAGATGTCCAGTGTAATTACCATATTACACTTTCATTGCAATAGATAAATGGGCAGTCAGACATCCATCTCGCGATCCGGGACCTCTGGCTCCTAACAGTTCATCTGCCTGCCCTAACCACTCTGCCTATCTGCCTGATCCTCCTAACGGCCCTCCCCGCCACCCTGATCCTCTTAAATGCCCTCCCCTGTCGGACTGGCCACCCTTAACGGCCCTCCCCTACTGGACTGTATTCCCCTAACCACCTATGCCTCGGCCCCCACCACTGTGGCTTTGTCCAGAAGGATGTCCAGATGGTTGTTTGGAAGATGTCTGCTCTAATCAGCATATTACCCTTTTATTATTATAC